CTGTTAACTTTTTTGGAAGCTAATTTACATGTTCAATTGACGTGTTTCAATGGGCGCAATTCCGTAATGTCTTGTTAAGGTAATCTGCATGGTCTCTTTTATTCTTGGGAGAAGAAAATTCACAAATGGAATAAAAAGGCAGCATCATCATTGATAAAATATTTAGTCATTGATTAGTCAGTTAGGCCCACTTCATATGTCGCATTTCTGCCCTGTTGAATTCAATTCAACCAATTAAATTGGACAGAAATTTGATGTCTGAATCGGCTGCCGCATTTCTGCTGCATGTTCGAGTGGGCTTTGCACATTATCCGACAGAGATGCGACAGCCATTCAAACGTTGAATTTCTGCTGTGTCGAATCTAAATATTCCACATTATGTTAATGTATTGAGCATGCGTAAATTTGGTCCCACCAAAGAGAATGAAGAAACTTAGCCACTCTCGTCCCAACGCAACCTGAATATATTGCAAAACAAACTGCTGCATTGTCAGCCTTCTCCTTCTCGATCCATTGGCGGATAATTTTTCGCAAAATTTAAGTCCTTCGTACCTCAGTATCTCAGTCTGCCATATTGAATACTCTGCGTCTGAAACATTTTCCGCTGACTGACATACCTGACAGCATTAATTCTGAAAAAAAGTTCGAAACAAGTGTGACGTATGAATCGACAGTCGCATTTCTGCCGCACTTAACTGAATTGAATTCAACACGGCAGAAATGCGACGTATGAACCGGGCCTTAACTAATTAACTGAATTAAAATTGTGATTTGGGTGGAAAGGGTACAAGATGAAAGAGAGAAGAGTACCAAAGCAAACAATGTTTGCCAACCCCCCCCTCTCCCAATCATAGTCAAAGGGTTGATCAAAAACTGGGTTATTTTCGATAGAAAATGAAACATCAAATGAATCAACATGAATAAAACATGACATTGAAATTATCATCGATTCTCACCATCAGAACTGGCACTCAAAGTCCTCTTTCTCTCTCTCCCCTTCAGGCACTGAAGCACTCTACGGACACCAATGCC